TACACTTACGTACAAACAGCACGGGGTGCGCGATCTACCGCAGGTAGATTGCCTACCTGATAATGTTCTGCTGCGAATCAGATTTTTTATTCCAGGCAACAGAAAAGTTAAGATAAATTTTGAACACCATACACCGAATATTAAATAAACTGAACAAAGTTTGAGTCATATAGAGTTGATACATTTAACGGGCAACGAAGTGCACGGGATCAGCTTGTATGAATATAAAATATAAAATAAATGTTTGGATATTTTGTTTTAGCCAGTGAGTGGCAATTGATATTGCTTTTTCGTTGGCTAAAGCCAAGTTGCGTCGGTCGTGCATCTAGGCGGGGCTAGGGTGCACTACTGCACTGTAATAAGTGGTCTGATTGGTCTTCGCCACGTACCTATAGGTGAGGTACTGTAATGATATGATAACATTTTGTAATGATAAGTCTTTAGATAACCTAAAAATGTTATGTAATAAAAGACAGTTTTAATAACGAAACGTGTGTTGTTACAATGGCGCAGTTCGAAAAAAACGAAAATGTGACTTGTATAATTCGTAGAAAAAAAGTAGCCTAGTTTCATGAGCAAATAGACAAAAGTGAGTATTTGTGTTAAATCGGTCAACGGGATAAGTTGTGTTTGCGTTAAACGGAAAACGCGATGGAACAGGATAAAGACTACATACTACCTTTTGAACCTTCCAATTGGGAAAAATGGAAGAGATCTATAATGATATTTATATTGTCTCAAAATATAACTAAGGATACGAAAAAGGAAGCTATCATACTGCACAGAGGTGGACAAGAGCTACAGGATATTTTTTTTGGAATGCCAGAGCATGGTAATCCACCTGATGGAATAACGGTATTTCAACACATAATAAATTTGTTAGATCAGCACTTTATACCAAAGGTAAATCCAGTATATGAATAAAATGGTGACAGCAGAAACGAACACATGCATTCCATGTCAAGCAGCTACACCAAAAACAAGTACAAATCCGATTATGAGTTCAGAGTTACCGCCAGGAGCATGGGCAAATTTGGATCTAGACTTTGGTGGACCATTTCTCAACGGTAAATATACACTTGTTATAATAGATGAATATTCTAGGTATCCAATTGTAAGAATAATCAATAATTTAAAGACTGAAACAGTAGTCTATGAGTTAAAAAAAATGTTCATGGAATTTGGCTTACCTGAGTGCATAAATACAGACAACGGACCACCAATGAATGGGACATTGTTTAGTCAATTTCTAAATTCATTTGGAATTAAACACAGAAAAGTAATGCCGTGTTGGCCGCAAGCGAATGTGACTGTGGAGCGCTTAATGAGAACATTAGGTAAAGCAATCAAAACATCAATAATTTCTCAAAAGAAATGGGAAGAAGCAATTGATGAGTTTCTGATGTCATACCGGACAACACCACATACCACCACAAAGGCAACACCAGCATCACTAATGTTCAGAGGAAAATTTAGGACTTGCAGGTTACCAGAAATGAAAAACATATCCTGTAAAACACTAAAACCATAGATAAGTATATATACAACATTAAATAAAAATAAAAATTTCAGATTCACGACCATGCCCATTTTGTAAATTATTGTAAATTGCGAAAACGGTGTAATATTATGTTAAAATAGTACAATAGTACATAAATATTCCACTGCTGTATTGAGCGCTGCAGAATTTTTCTTATCATGAGAGTAATATTAATGACATGTACTCCATGCTCGTTGGGCAACCATTATATCATTTATATCTTTAATCGTGGTTGTTACAGGACGTACCTATTAGGTTACGGCGCAAGGGGCCCTTCATTAATAAGCGCCAAGGGGCTATAATTAAGGGATAGTATTTCTCCTCTGAATTTTTCTGAGTATGGTGCCTTCTATAATATATTAATATGAGTTTAATACTTTTACATGCCCCGTCCGGCCACTGCTTGAGAGTTATGAATTCAGTAACGGGTTTGGAATCCAAAACCTATAACCCGCTTACAATGTTTTGTATATTGTTATATTATGTTTTAATTTACTCTGTTTGTATATAAACTTGTAAGTTGTAACCTCAACCGTTATGATATTATGACAATACAAAATATTTATAATTTATATTTATACATAGTGATTTTATTATAAAAATTATTTTTGAGCAGTGGCCCACCGGGAAAGTTCCCGGTATCCCGCCGGCCTAGTCCGCCCCTGTCTAAAATAGAAAGGTATAACCAAGTCTTTTTTTTTAGCACCCCCTTTTAAAATTTCCGGATCCGTGCATATACTTATAATACCGGTAGGTGCAGTGTCAGTGGAAATCATAGACCTTATACTAATGGACTTATCAGGGGCGTATTTAGATATTTTTTTTGGGGGGGGCTGTGGTATTTTCTCCAACTGAAATTCCCTAATTCAGCCTATTAAAAATAAGAGTTAGAAAATTAGTACTCAATTTTAATTTTTGTCATGATTTTTAATGTTTTCAAAAAATTAATAATGAAATAATGTATAATAATAATAATAATAATAATAATAATAATAATAATAATACGATATTAATATAACAAATCAAATCAAATTTAAATTTCTTTCTTTGCCACTGTTAGCAAATTTATCTAATAAAATGTCATCTGGTATGTCAATGTCTCTATGAATAGCTAAAAGGGCAAGTCCCACTAGTCTGGATTCTGAAGTTGTATTTCTTAAATACGTTTTGAGTCTTCTCAACGTCGAAAAGCTACGCTCAGCTGTAGCGGTGGATACTGGTATTATAGCTAGTATTTAAATATTTATCTATAATAGCGACTATAATATAACAGCCGGCCGTCGTCGTCACAACTTCTCGGAAATATTTTTAGCTCATACGGGCTCGTAATGCTCGTATAATTATTATTGTACGGTGATTGAAACGCGGCAACGCGTGTATAATATCAGTAAATCAATTCTAGATAAAAGAAATCGAAATTACGATAATGCAGCAGTACAGCACGTCAAAATTAAGTATTATGTACCGAACTCGAATAACGATCATATAATCGTTATTCGTTACGATCAAAATCGTCATTGACACATTATAATATGAATAACTTGTTCGTTGTTAATAATAATTCTTTATAAAATTATATTGAACTTTTACGATTTTACATCTAGTAGAACATAATAAGTAGACTTAATAAACAATTCCTAGATTTCGGGGGGGGGGGGCTGAAGCCCCCTCAGCCACCCCCATAAATACGCCCCTGGGACTTATACTATCGTGATTATGCACATAACCTCAGTTGGCTCAGTTATAAATTTAGGTACTTATATATTGATCCTTCGTTATAATATTATAAAACAATAATATTAATATATTATAATAATTATTTGTAATATAATATTTTATAATAATTTATTATTTAAGTCGTACGCGTAGGTTAGAGATCTTCATGACTTCATCGCCAATGACCTTTTTTTTCGAAATTGACCTTCGATACTAAGCCTAACGTAGTATAACGAATACTTTCAAACAAAACGCATATAAACGTCGTATCGTCATATCATGGTCTAGTCCTGGCGCATTGGTGTACTTATATAATATATATATACATTTCAACATTTGACATATTATGTGTAAATATAATACCTATGTATAATGCGGACTGCTGCGAAGACCTTCATGGCTCATGCATAATTCATAGCACACTCCACACATTACTCAACACCTTAATAGTTACATGTTTTCACGTAATTTGATAATGAACAATAATAATGTATAATAATAATAAAAATAATACCTATATTATATCAACGTTAAATATTCGGTTTATTATGGACATTATAGTATAATACCATTGATTTGTACTAACGAATTCGAGCCGTTGAAATAAATGAGTTGAGTGGTAAATCATGATCAACCCATAGAGTAATAATAAATCAACCATCAACCACAAAAGATTTATATTATATTAGGTACATAGTTTAAATTAGCTGATAATGTAATATTATCATAATATTATATTAATATTATTATTACCTATACATAATTTAATAATTATTAATTATCTAGTCTAGGTATAAAGTATAAACATTTTTTATGAATACGTCACTCGTTCCTTTCCGTACTATCAAACAACGAGCACCGTGTCTACCGTTTGTCCGTTACTATTTAAAATTTAAACAATAAATGTGTTAAATAATGAATATTATGTTTTATGCATCAGTTATTATTCAGTTATGGGTGACCCATAATTGATGGGTCCCATGTTAATTACTGTAATTCTAATTTCTGTTCAACTCTCTGGCTTAGTGACTGTGTGGACTGGGGATTAAATATATATATAAGTTTAGTATTAAGTATAATAGTCAATAGAATACCATAGTTCGCGTCACTACTATCATATGGCACATACCGACATCGGATACTGGATAGACCATAGAAAATATATACTATAAACTAATGACTAATGGACATATTAGGACTACAGGAGTGACTGGACTCTGGAGTACTGGACAGTTTACAGCGCCTACCACACCAACTTGACGACAGTAAGTTCATCTCATATTCTCATATCTCGCCCACTGGTTAGTGGTGTCTCACTCTATAAGCGCTCTCTAAAGTGTCGTTTACATAAGTATCGTTCTATGTTTATACTTTTATATTATAGGTCTATGCTTACTACTTACGCTTTTTACGAGTAAGTTGGTCACACTGTTAAAGTCGAGTCGGCGTCCCGCGGCTTGTAGGCGTGGGTTTCCGACCCCCGTTAAGATTTTTGTGTATACTATATTCCTGAATACAGCAGCTTGCCCGGCGGCCGATTGATGTAATTGACGGTGAAATTTATTTAGTGTCTGTGCGCAGTGTTTTATACTTTTGTAACCGGTGTCGTCTTTCGTTACGTTTATAATAATAAATTGTAATTATTAAAAATCAATCGTCTTAGTGCTCCGCTTTTGAGTCTTTGGTCGCACGCGTTTTATGCGATTAATTGAATAGTGGTGGTGATCGAACACCGGCCATTGAAATGTCACAGAGGGCATCGAGAAAAGGCGGCGCGGCCAGGAATACTCCGCAACCAGACGAATCCACAGCCAGTACGACCAACAGCGAGAAGAGCCGGAGGACGGCAACTTTGAGCCCCACCAGGTTCAGTCGTATTCAGGAAAAACACGAGCTACAGAATTTGAATAACCGTTTGGCCGCCTACATTGACCGCGTCAAGTACTTGGAAACCGAAAACTCCAAATTGACCCAACAGCTCCATTCTTCGGAAGAAGTGACAACCCGGGAGGTGTCCAACGTCAAGGTATTATTTGAGTCTGAGCTTGAAGATCTAAGAAATGCATTGGACCGTGAAGCTAAACTAAAGAGCCGCCTTGAGTTAGAGTCTAGGCGTAAAACTTTAGAAGTCGAAGAGCTCAAAACAAAGTAGGTACCACGACAAATTATGATAAATTTAATGTTCATTTTAAATACCTCTAGACATATATTAAAAGTTATTATGGTACCTATTGGAATGAAAAATCATAATTGCATACTGTATATATAGGTATGTTTGTTATATATTTGTAATTATAGTAATTACTAATTGTGTAGAATATTTATAGAATAAACATAGGTAGCTTTTAAAAGTATATCATACTTTATTTATCATTGTTATATATTTTTCACTTATGTGCGAGGTACCTATAACATGATGTTAAACTTAATTATTAAATTTGATAACATGATAAAGATAAAAATGTACTGTCAGATAATAGAATAATACCATCATAAACATTTTTATTGATTCCCAGCTTATATCAAATAGTAATTAAACAATTTTCTTTCTTGATTATTGGTAGGGACGCTACTGGTTTTTTCAACTATTCCCCCAAAAAATTAGCTTTTTATTGCTACTTTTTTTAAAATGTAGTGCCCTATTGTTTAAATGTAGCACTCTATTCTTACTCTAAATTGTTTTTTAAATTTTCTTATTGAAATTGGTAGTTTATAATTTGTACTGATTTAACATTTGGTCTCGGTATTTTACTACTGTGTTAATTAAGGATTTAATTACCACCAAATAGGTTGTAGGTATCGACAAAATAATGATAATTTTCACTATGCAAACTGTACATTTCTAGTACATAAGTATTTTGCTACATTAGGTGTATTGTAGCAACACTAGGATAATCGACCCCTGTTGCTTATTAAACTAAAAGTAGGTATTATATCTCGTATTATATAAATAATAATTATTCCCTGGTAATAGAAAATAAAATATTTTTATGGAGCTATTTATAATGTATTATTAAAACATTTATTGAGAATTTAATTGAATCTATTCATTGTAATTTGTAATTTATATTTATACTATTATTATATTTCAGGCTCGACAATGTTTCAAAAGAATTGAAAGAAACTTCACCATATGTAGCTCGATTTAATGAATTAAATTCTAAATTTGGTCAGACTTTGATCGACAATAAGAATTTAAAAGACGCTAATAAGGCAAGTATTATTTATTTGATGATATCTTTGAGTGTTGAAGACTAAAAAATAATGAGATGACAGAAGTTAGGTATTGCAATACAGTAGAATCCGATTAATTAACTTGGGCATCGGTTTATTAGGACAACCGCTTAATTGGGATAATTTTTCAATTACCAAAATAATCTTAAGATTGTAGGTTAAATGTTCACCACTTATCTGGGCCACAAAACCGGACAATTTTTTATATCCTTAGTCCAAGCTTATAATTGCTTTGGAGTCTGTGGAGACTACATTCATGAATCTTCAACAATCAGTGACAAGTAATAAATTATAAAAGAAAGTATGATTGATTACTTTTTGTTTCCAAAACTTAAATAAATATATACTTTTGTATAAAAATTCTTTTAATTTTATATTTAAATTATACATGTTACACATATTACATATTTGTTATGTTACAAAACTATTCTTCTATATTATGTAATAATAAGTAGGCAAATACCCTCCAACAGATTTTTATGTTCCATCTTTTATTTCGGATTATTGGGAGAAAAAACATGCAACCAATATGTCCTAATAAAGCTAAGTCTACTATATTATTAAGTAAACTATTATTAAGCAAGGACTATTTATTTAAAGAAAAATTCAATATATTTCTAGAGTTTAGTACAAAATTGCTCATTTATTTGAAGTTTGTTTAGTACACGGATTAGTTTTATTAATAATGTGTTAGTTTATTAAGTACCTATTTAGTAAGTATAGAAAATTGGGTTTCAAGATATTTATAGTTTTTTATTTATTTTTGCAATAAAATAGTAAGTAAATTCAAATTTTTGATTTAAATTGAATACATTTGAGTACCTATTTGATATAAACCAAGTAACTAAGTCTTGGGATAATTTAGTGATAGATATTTAGCATGATTAGGTATCTACATTTCTAGTTAGTCACTTACTTATACACGAGCATTGATTGAACAGCTTAACAACATTGGGTTATGAACTTGCAACTAATAATTTCCACTATGTCTCATTTTTATTTTGTTGTTACAGTTAATTATAATATAAGTTAGTATAATTCAGTCATCATTTAAATTATTTGATCTGTATTTTCTTACAGAAATTGACCAAAGAATTAACATTGGAGAAGAAAACCGTTAAGGATAATCAAAAAATATTAGAAGAAGAAATTTTACAAAGAGTTACAATTGAAAACAAATTACAAAGCATGATGGAAAATTTCAAATTTAAAGAAGAGGTAAAGTTAATGCATATTATATTATATTTTATTGGATTAGTTCTGCATATTATGTTTTTTTATAGGTTCATAAACAACAGCTCAATGATACAAGAACTAGCCGCCGTACCGAAGTTATTACTGAAGTCGATGGACGTTTAGTTAAAGAATATGAAGATAAATTACAATCTGAATTACAAATGTTACGACAACAAGCTGAAGAAGATGTCAAACGAAACAAAAAAGAAATTTCTGATTTGTTTGATAGCAAGGTATAATTAGTATTTTAATAAAAATATTAAATATTACTCATAAATCATAATTAATAAATATTTTTTAAAAAAAATTGTATATTTAGTTTCAAAATTTGGAAAATGAATTGCAACGCAAAAAAAAAGCTCTGGAAGCAGCTCAAGAAGATATCAATATGGCCAATTCGCGTGTTAGTGAATTAACGCAACAAATAAATGATTTATTGTCCTCAAATAATGATTATTTGGTATATATACACTTATTTTATTTTATTACATTTTAATCTAAAAAATAATAATATAATTTTTTGTTTAGAGGAAAATTACCGATCTAGAACGATCTAGAGAACTTCAAAGAACTAAATATATATCTGAAATTCAAGGTCTTGATCAACAATTAACAGCTATGCAAGATGATATGTCCCAGAAAGTACAAGAATATCAAGACTTAATGGATATAAAAGTGGCACTGGATATGGAGATTAGTGCTTATCGAAAATTATTAGAGAGTGAAGAAAGGAGGTTGAGTATTACTCCAAATACTTCTGTGGTTGGCAGTCCCAGAGGCAAAAAAAGGAAATTGTTCCAACGTGACGAAACAGAGTATGAAGTTTCTAATATTATCACTGCTTCATCAACTAGTGATATTGAAATTTGTGAAGTGTGTCCTGATGGACAGTTTGTAAAATTATACAACAAAGGATCAAAGGTAGGAATGAGATTCTCAAATTTATGTTTTAATAAAGGTGTAAAAAATTATTATTATTTAGGAGTTTGCATTGAGTGGATATGAATTAGTACGCACTACTGCTGAGCAAAATGTTTCTACAGTATTCAAGTTTCATCGTTCTGTAAAACTAGGAGCTGGTAATTGGTTAACTGTATGGTCTTCGACTGCCAGTAATCAAATACACGAACCTAGTGCTGGATCAATTGTCATGAACATCCAAGCTTGGGTTGTTGGTGAACTTATGGCTACAATACTTTTGAATCCTGAAGGACAAGTATGTAGATTTTAAATTAATTAATATAAATATATCTAACCTTAATATGTTAATAAACATAAATAAACATAAACATTCTGTATTATATTTCTTCTCAGGAAGTAGCTACTCATGAACTTAAAAAAGGACAAGTTTCCCATTCACGAGCTAATGAAGGATATGGTGATTATGAAACAGAATTGTTCCATCAACCAGTAAGTAGTCAAAATTATTTTACCTAATATGTATTAAATTAAAGTGTTCTAACAAAAATATAGGTAGGTAATAAATTAAATAGATTTATTACAGTTCTGGTTCCATTTTAGTCTTCTTCGCAAAAGTACACTTATGATAATAAAAAACAATTGATAAAATAATAATTTTATATTAGGTAAATCATGTGAAATGGACAACTTTTAAGATAGGCCCAATGTTGTCATGGTAGTATTAACTCCCTGCCCATAATTCAATGAATAATAATAAAAATGTATTTTCAATATTATTCTTAGAATCAAACATATTTTCAAACTATAAAAAATTATGTTTTATATTGAGTTCCTCTTTATTCATTCCATTAAAAATGACAAGTTGTGTTATTTTTATGAATATTAATTTTTATGATACCTCAATTTTGTGTAATCTATAAAAAAAAATTGTTTGTGTAAAAATAATTAAAATTCAATATGTGGGTTCAAAAAATAAATGAATAAAATTTCCCTTGACATTTGAATAGTGTTGACATATTTATCATGAACAATATAAAGAGGATATTATTTTTTATGAACCAACCATCTAGATTGAAACCTTCTTTTCCTATAAACTATGGAAGATTATTTTTAGAAATGTTATAGTTATTGAAAATTTAAACATCTGTTTGTTCCTCTTATTTTCCAAACTTTATTTATGTAAATACGGCTCACCCATTGTTTTACTTTGAACATAGATCCATAAAATAATAATGTAAATGTGTAAGGATTTGTGACTTAATTTGAATAAACTATTTATTTATTTTTGAATGATTTATGGTAAATGGATTGGATTTTGTACCTACTTTATTTTTGAGTAGTATAAAATTTAAGTAAAATGTGTATTTATAAAATTATGAATTGGTATATTATTGTTTTAATGTTAAACTCATTTTTAGGGTGATCCTCAATCTACCGACAAATGTGTTATCATGTGAAGATATTTACTCAATATTTTAGTATAAGAACAATCCAAAAAAATAAAAATATTAAAAAAAACACTTGTAGTTAATCAGAGTTTATCACGTGTTAATAATTGATTTTTAATTGTAATTAATTTTTTATGAATGCGCGAATTTTTTTTATACTAATATTTATTATTATTATTTTATTTACTTTAATTTTTGTTTTTTTTTTTTTTTGTATTTTGCTTTATTCACTATTAAATGATCTATACAAAATCTAATTTAAAATATTTTACTAAATTACTGATTAAATTAGGAAAAAATATGAAATTGAATATCTGATCCCATTTTAGATTGTATAAAGTAAAAAATAAATAATTTCGTGACTATTTATACATACATTAAATTGTACTTAATAAATATATTACTATGATATTAAGTCAAAAGCTCATTTATGTTAAACTTTACATAATGTTGTAAAACGATCATGTACAAAGATCTTATTATTTATGATTTGAATATTACCATTAATAATAATAAATAACTGTTATTTAACATTTACAATAATTAATCCTAGTAGTTTAATTAAAAATAATACCTTCCTTATAAAGTTAGTAAAACTTTTTTTGCAATTAATATTATATAGCTAGAATGAGTTCTGTTTACTGATTCATAGACTCATATACTTATTTTATGTATGTAAAAACAGTACTAATGTTAAATGGAATTTACCATAATAGTAAATTATTTAATCTGAAGTATTTTTTGCAGGCTTTATTAATATTAGTTCCAAAATAATTTCCTACTAATGTTATAAGGGCCAAAGTTTTATTTTTACTGTGACAGCTATATATATTTTTTGTCAATACCGACTAATTTAAAATTTAAATTAGATCTGCATTTTGTCTTCCAGAATAAATATAAATTATTTGTCAAACATGCATTTTATGTTTTTTAATTTTAATCATTTTAAAAATATCAAATCATTTCATATAAGGCTGCTATAGTTTTAAATGTAATGTATACCCAAATAAGTTATTTTTATGGACTTAATAATCGTTTTACGCTTTGTGTTTTGTTAATGACATAATTTATTAAACTCGGTTCATACAGTTTGATTCCAATTTTACAGAAATTAAAAATGTAGTTATAAATTATTTATTTAGTTGAATACCTACAATTTATTTTATATATTCATTTATCATAAGTTATAATTATACATTAATTAAATTGATTTATATAATTTTTTTTACTTATAAGCATTCAAGCCATTTAATTTTTAATTTTAGTTACTTACACTTAATAAGTTAATATACTAATAAACAACAAAGTATCTAAATGTAATTCATATCAGTTTATAACTGATATATGAAAGAATGTTCTATTTGTGTTGTATACAGTACTACTGAATATGCACTTAAAATTAAATATAATATATTTATTTATTTATTTTAAACTTTTAAAGTAAGATTATTTATTTTAATAAATTGTATTATTTTGATTTATTAAATACTGGGAATGGTTTATTTTTGTAGAAACTTTAAATCAATAATATTTTTGTTCCTGATAATATTTTTAAATGTTACTTACATTTATTAATCATGATTATTAATTCCAGTGATGCTAAAGTCTAAATTAAGTGGTGTAGGTACAGCATTTTTTTATACCCACCCACCTGTATAAATAATTATTATTTATTGCAGTCAACGTACATCATTTTAACATCTTAACAGGATATGAACTATGATGTAATGAAATGAGAAAATATTTTATTACCACTGATATACTTTTATTAATCTTGGAGTCCCCAACAAATAAACGAGTTATAGGAAGTTTTGTAAAAATTTTTAAACATTGATTTTAGAATTGGTCTCTCAATTTTATAATTATTATTTTTATTAATTTCTTCAGTAACATAAAGTAAGAAAATAAAGTTCAAATATTTATAATTCAATATTACTTTATTTCTAGTTCACTTTTTCTTCTTGGAAAAATTTTTTTTTACAACGTAAGGGCCAAATACCAATACTATTGTGTAGTGTGCCGGATGATTCATTTTTGGTAAGGCACTTATTATTTTAATAATAATTTTTATTATTTTTAGTATTATCGTATAATATTTTATCTTTACTATTATAATGCCATGCATTTTCAATTTCAAAGGAGAATATTTTTTGGAGTACTTCGAAAGTACTCCGGATTTAAATGCCCTAAAAGGCTAAAGACTATAAAACTACAAAATAACTGAAACTTCCCTAAATTATGCCTTTTCGACGCCTTCAAAACACCAAAAATGTTTTATAGTTTCACAACCGTAGGCAGAAATCCATTAAAGTGTCAAGGGGTAAACTTTATTGACATCAATGTGAGGCGTGAGCGATAGCGATGTGACGTAAGCGATTGGAAAACGACGGTTTAACTTAAAACACGGAAATAATATATACTATATGACTATATCTGTGTGACCATGCTTAAGGGCCGTTCTTACGACGTCCGGTTAAAGTTAACCGACACTTAACCGGAAGAATTCTGCCGGTAATAAAATCTGTTATCAGTCGGTTAGCGTTAACCGACACTTTACAGGACATTGTAAGAACGGCCCTAAGACACATTACCATGGTATTGTTATAACATACCAGTATTACAATTATCTGTACACATGATTAACCGGCTGATAACTGATTTTATTACCGACTGAATTCCGCTTCCGTTGGAGTCCGTTAAATTTTTAATTTAACCTGAGGTGTACACTTATACTGGCCCGTACTAAACTAGAAATAATACAAAAACAAATTACCAAACTTGGTTATTGGTTAGTACGCATACTACAAAACCAGCATACCGGAAATAAATTCGATCGCAATGAAAGGCTGGGCAACTTAACTATTTTTTTTAACTCGTTAAGTTAATATAGAAAAATGTAAGTTAAGTTTAAAGTTAAAAGTTAACTTTATTTTTTTTAAATAAAACTAATAATTATACCTACCTACCTACCTTTTTTAAAGTCAATAAATCAATAAATGTCTTACAATTTTTAAACAAATATTGATAATAAAATAAGTTACTGTAGGTAATTATATTTGTATATTATACTTTACTCAATGATGAAATTCAATAAAATAATTAAATTATTGTTATGTATTTGTTAACGTAAATGGTCCACAAGTCAACTATATTAAAATAATCAAATTCATTATTATTTATTAGAATATAATATAATATCAAATATTAATAATATTATGCAATTCATAGTAAGTATTTAGAAATACGTAAATACAATGAACTACGACTCTACTACGGGTAATATACTATTATTTACACCGACGGGCCAAGTTATCGCTGTAATTCTATGAATAAATACAAATATAATAAGTAATAATATTAATTATGATTACGTATAGCATAATATAGGTAAATAGGTTAGGTTATAATATGTCGTGTATGGGTATTGGGTAGGTAGGTACTGAATAATTTGTTATATTTTTCTTACCGACGTGGTTACCCCTATAGCATTTCTGTCTATAATATATTTATCTAATATTTTCTGTGAATATGCAATATAATAACTTTCTATTAATATAAATTATTATTTACCAAAATATATTTAATATTTGGGGTTTTTTTTTATTTAATTAATTTTAGAAAATTGAATTTATTTTAATATGTGGTTTGGGAAAAATCAAAACTACGTGCCAATAAAATGAATTAACTCGTTAAGTTACTGATTAACATAGGGAAAATGTAACTCGTTAATTAACTTCGTTAAAAGTAACTTTACTTTTTATCGTAACGTCTTAACTTTAACTTATTAACTCGTTAATGCCCAGCCTTGTCGCAATGTACCTATCTCCAACTCACCAATTAGTTATAATTTGACATTTGTATAAGTTCCACTAATTTGTAAGACACTTCATCCGAAAATCGTTTCTTATCGCTTTCATATATTAATTTATAGAAGTGATAGAACGATTGATCATTGACATTTGTATAAATGAAAAATTCGTAACAATTAATTTTTCATACGTTTTAGACCAGTAGATAAGCGGTGATAAATCACACATACTTCGGAATCTCCGATTTTAATTTTGTATACATATATGAACTCTGACAAAATATCTAGGCTTTTTAGGAAGTCGATTTTTAATTTTAAAAAACCTAAAATTAAGTTTTATTTGCAAAAATCCCATGAAATAATTGCTTTACATTTGTATTTATTTTGGGCACACCTGACTTTAAATCAAAAAAGTGATTCCTATAGAACAGGAAGCTTATAAATTCAACCATTTTTTCAAAATTACAATCGAACGTCAGGAAGTATGTTTAATTTTCTACCGATTTTAGGAGTTTTTAAATTTTTTTATATAGTAATGCAATTAATGCAAACAAAAATATTTTCATTTTTAGCGATGTATTGACAAGTGCGTGCATCAGGCGGCGGTTGCCCGAGTGCCCGACGTGGTATTACAGCGACTCACATAATATTATAGACATAGGTATAGCTCTCCTTCTGGTAGAAATTTTGTATACAGGATAAAAAAAAAACAAAAGAAGTCGGTCAGTCAGCCTATGATATTACTAAAACTCTAAGTATATTTGATGATATTATTGTGAATAAAGTAATAATAAAACCTATTTACGTGGAACCTCTTTTTAAATTTTCAATCCTTAGCTATAAAAGTTCAACATTTTATACATTTTTAAATTTTAAATTTCATAAATGTTGTCAAAATTCGATCTTAAAATGCTTAAAAAAAAATGTGACCATTGATTTTTTAATAATTTTTAAATAATCTTATTGTAACAATATGAGAGCCTTGTATTAAAATGTCAAGCTTTTTAGTTTTTTTTTTACCCAACAAATGCAATTTTATTGACATTCAAAGAAAAAAATTTAAATTGATAATGTCCGTAAACCTCCCAAAACAAGTCAAAATATTTTGAATATTTTATGGTATATGGCAAATGCTAATATAAATGTTCAGTGAAAATTTCATGTATCTACGGTCATTTGTTTTAGAGTTACGAAAGAACTA